ATGACATGAGTAAAGGCTCTCTATAGCTGTGAATAAGAATAATCATCAATATAACTCTTGGAGAAAGTGTTTCACACTTTTAGCACAATGTAGTACAATGTAATTTTATTATTAGAAATTAATTTATTGCTTTTATGGATCTTTATAGGATTTTAAAGGAAATACTCCATAATATCTTTAGCTTTGGGGGAAATCGTTGCTTACATTATGGATAAAACATCACAACAGGAGTATTAGCCCCCAACCTAATAAATAATTGGCAGTTAAACAGGCAGAATGTGACAACCTGAAACCTGTTTGATTTATTTGTGTTTTATGGCTTCAGTTTGAGTTAATGAGAATGAAGTATTCAAATCATCAACTCTCTTTTTTTAGAATAATTAAAATAAAGGAAGTTCTGAAAAAGGAGAAAAATTATTAAATACCAATGTGAGAAGTAGTCAAAAATGACTTCATTATGACCAAAAAGCCTTAAACATAAAACAAAAGGATTAATACATTAGAATTCATTATATTATGATATTCCATTCGTATATGGATTCCATTTTAAAGTGAAAAAACTAGGCACATACAGGATAGAAATATTTTCATAGCAGAAATCTAATAAAAACACCCATACCGAAATATGTAAAGAGCCACTGCTAATCAATAATAAAATATTCCAACCCCAATTAAAAATGAACTAAATACTTGAATGGGCACTTTAAAATAAGGGACACCTAAATGATCTATAATCGTATGTAAAGGTGCTCAATATCGTTCTTCCTTCCTTCCTTCCTTCCTTCTTTCCTTCCTTCCTTCCTTTTTTCCTTCCTTCCTTCCTTCTTTCTCTCTTTCTTTCTTTTTTTTTTTTTTTTTTTTTTTTTTTGGTGGTTGGCTGGTACAGGGATCCTAAGCCAGTAACTTAGCTGTAACCAGCACCACACTCTCTCAAGTGAGCTAACTGGCCAGCTATTTCAGCAAAACCAAATTAAAACAATACTCAGATATCACTACCTACCGAAAAGAATGGTCAAATCAAAGAGCTTGAAAATAATCAATGTGGATGAGGACGTGGAGCAACTGGAACTCTCATACACTACTGGTGGTACTGCATTTTTAACAACTATAAAAACTCATATGACAGCAGTATCCTGAGATTGGCAGGATCTATGGAAGCTAAATACATATTTTTTAATATATAGTTATATATTATATGTAATATATAATATAAATAGATGTGATATGTTAGCAATTCCTGTCCTATGTAAACACAAGGTAAAGGAATGCTTAGATTTCCAAAAAAAGATCTCTAGAAAAAGTCATATAGAAGCTTTATCCATGATAGCAAAACAAAACAAAATAAAACTGCTCAAATATAAATTTACCAAAGCAGAATCATAAATAAATTTAGCTATATTCATTTAACAACTACTTCACAGCAATTAAAACAACAAATCTAATGTTACGTGCAGTAACGAAGATCTATCTCACAGACAGTGGTGCACAGAATAATTTAGGGGGTGAGCATGGGGGTTGCAGATGTGTCAGCATTCTGTGAGTCCATTTATGTAAAGCCCAGGCCAGGCAAACTTAATCTAGGATGTTAATAGTTAGAAAGATGTTTATCTCTAGGCAGTACTACTGACTAGTAAAACCAAGAAAGAGATTTTGGGAATTAGAGTATGCTTGAGCTAGGCGGTCAGTGAATACAAGCAAAATATCATCAATGTGCACAGTTAAGATCTGTGTATTTTAAAATATGCCTTAAAGAACAACTAAAACAAACAAACAAAAAAAGGAAATGAAATTATGGGTCATACAGCAAAAAAGGTATTTGAGCTAATTTATCTTTTAATTTTGTATTGTGCAGATGCATTCATAGAGCTGTCCATGTCTCTGAGAGACATGATTCTTACGTGTAAAGAACTTAGAATGCATTCATCCATTCAACACTTACATACTGAGCTTCTACTGCAGGCTAGTCATTGAACAAAAGTCATTGAACTTTTGCTAACAGGTCCAGTTTAGAAAATTTATCATTTGAAAATGGATTATAAATTCATTGAAAGCTGAACAGTATATTTG